TTTTTTTTCCTTTTTATATGCTTGCAGAATAGATTGTAAGAGGGGATAAATGATTGTATGCATTTAATGTTTATATATCGTCCTCTATATATTTCCTGGTGAAATGTGGTGCAACCATGTACTTGTGCATCTGCGTTTGCACCAGTGTGTGCATATTTGTTTGGATTTATTCAACTATGAATTAGTTGGAAATTGGAATTATTTTTCTTAAATGGTGCTGCAAAATGTCTGCATGTGAAGTATTGCACAAAAGCATTATAATTTTGATTACACTTCGCCTCATTCTTACGTTTAGTGTGCTGCCAATTTTTCCTTGAGTCACTCATGGTTGATATGAAATATGCTTTTCTGAAATTACAGGAAGAAGCAGGAAGACTCAAATTCGTATGTGTTTCGAACGACAGTGTTGATGAGCATATGGTTTGGTATTTATTTATTTTTTATTTTTTGAAAGTTCATGTTACATCTACTTGTCTGTTAAATATGGTGCTTCTTTACTTTATTTCCTCTCGGCTCCAAATTTCTGTTCAAACACTTTTAATTTTTGTCAAATATCCTACTGCAACGTGAAGTTAATTCAATATCTTTATATGCTTCAGGTTAATAGGATTGAAGAACATTTTTGCTAGGCAACTACCTAATATGCCGAGGGAATACATTGTTCGTCTGATAATGGATAGGTATACATGTTGGGCTCTTTTGAAGTTTTTTTTTATAAAGTATTTGTTCCTAGTAATATATAGCCTCTGTTCAGGAAACATTTTTAGGAGAAATAGGGTGAGGACCACGAAATGTTTGGAAAATGATTAGTAGTTTCGAATGTGTAATCAAAATTAATGTTTGACTTCAAATGGACAGTAGAAGTAACTTATTTAATTTGCTAAAAATGTTTCCCAAACACAGGCATAGTCATATGTAATATGTAGGCAGATATTCATTGGTTAGTTTTCTTTTTTGGTTCAAGTGTGTGTTTCCAGCTTGTTGATTTTCATGGTATATGTAGAGCTGGGCAGATCTCCCGAACCGAACCGACCGAACTGAATCAAACCCGACGGTTCTTGTCAAATTAAATACCCGAACGGGTATCTGAATTGAAAACCGACGGGTACGGTTCGGTTCTCGGTTC